TTTAGAATAATTAAGTTTATTACGAAAAGGTTTGGTGAGTGTTGAGGAGCCATTATTAAGTTCAACAGCACTTTTTTTCAGTGCGACTATTTTTTTGTACGTATTGCCTCTGCCTGGACAAATATTTCTGTCATCGTCACTAAAGAGGAAAAGTCATTAAAGTCGTGGAATCGAGTACAGTGTGTTTGAAGACGAATTCGCGTAGAGACCGGTATATTGTATTAAGCCCATTCAACTAGTGTATTATTTGACTACTCATTGTAATTTAGACACCTAATCTACTATGTAAATTTCTGTGTGATTCTGACTGAGAGCGTGTCTGCACATCAATCTTTAATCTATTCTCTCATTGGTTGTAACACACAGACAATCCATAATTTATCCACAACCAACTAACACTCATAAATATATATGTATTTTTAACACTCACACAAGCACATACTCGCTTGGTTTCCTTGTATGCTTGATTCCTGTACGCCTGCGGATTTTACTAATCTTCAATAATAAACTATCTCTATAATTGGTGTTCAGGTTTTTGAGTAATCTCCAGTAAACCCATGAGTCCACTAGGAGATTTAGCCTGCGTTAAATATTCAGTTAAAAGGATACTACTTATTGGAGTCAGATATAGAGCAAATTAGCCTCTACAATATACAGATCATTAGAAAACTTAGGTCTCCAGTGTTCTAAAGTGAGATTTTGTTGAAGATATTTTTGATGTCGTGTTACAATATATTAGTTAGTGTGTCGGCATTGTTTACAGTAAAAAAAGTTCCCTAATCGGTGCTTCTTAGGTAATTTCGGAAGTTTTTTTATCAACCTTAAGATAGTTTTTATGAAGTGTTACAGTTTCATGTCTACCGGTAGTGGTTTTTATATTAAGACTACACATGACAATGTTGTGACTGCTGCCTGGAAACGTTTTTCTATTGTGCACAGTAACAGCGATGAGGCTCCTGATTAAGTCTAAGTCCAAGATATTTTGATGTATGGTAGGGCTACTGACATACTGGATTCAATGTCCAAGCTCCAGAAATTTAATAAATAGTGCATAACGTTTCGGCGCCTTGACTTGAGATCAAGAAATATAAGGTATGTTTAAATCACAATAAATAAGCTTGCCTGTGAATGGAGGGGATGATGCTAGTGTAAAAACCTCTGATAATACTGCTGCTTCATTTACTGATGCGTTAAGTTGACGATTGACACAGTCGAACGGTAAGATAATGGGATTCAATGGCTTTAAAACAATCCACATCGAATCTTGCAGTTTGTTTAGATCAGGTATGTCACATAACAGTGAGTTTAAGCTAGAGTGACCGTAAATAAAGCATCCTCTACCACGCCCTTTCAATCTGTCATTTTGATATGCGAAATAGATATAAACAGATATACTTGGGTCGGGAATATTTCTATTAGTCCATGCTTCAGATATCATAAAAAGTGATGGTTGATAAAAAGATACAAAGAGAGCTAAATTCGTCTTTTTATCGACTTAGCGTTGAAACACACATATTAAACAAATGGTCTACTAAGTTAAAATGGGTGAGAGTATCTGGATTAAAGCTGTTATAACCTTCAAGGGTGTGATATGGGTTTAAAGTGAGAGATTGCTTGTTCGTCATTTGCTTGTTTCGACATCTAGAGTTGGAGGAGGATATGTCAAATGGTTCAAATGGTTGCGGATGGAATAGAAGAAGCTTTCGCTTAACGCGTTCCTGTATCTATTAGCAGTGGATCGCCAATACCTCCAGGCAGGAACCTAGGTATATCAACTATAACAGAGCAGAAAAAAAGAAATTGGTAACTCATAAAAAGATGTTTTCCTTAGTCCTTATGAATAGGTCGAATTTCTTCTTAAAGGATCCTTGGGAAGTCGCTTGGACTAGTTCAGTCGGCAGCGAATTCCAGCTTTTGACAAATATTCAGGAGTAGAAGTTGTGTCTACAGTCCGTTCTGCTATGTCGTGTCTCCGATTTCTGGGTGTTGTCCCTTAGGCTTGTATTGGGACCAAGGTTAATTACGTGTTTAAGGGGATGTCCAGAAGTTTTAAGTATACTGTAAGCTACCAAAGTGTCCTTGTCCTTTTAGAGTGAGGTTGGAAATACTATGTTTCCGTACTCTAAATGAGGACGAATGAAACTGTTGAAGATAATGTGGAAAGTTCTTCCGTCGAAATGGCCAAAAATGCGCTTCAATGCTACCAGTGCAAGGTTTGCTCGAAAGGTATTTCTGTCACAGTTGGCGTAAGACTTCAACTCGTAGGGCACTAGGACTCCTAAATCTTTTTCAACCTGGGGCACTTCTAGAGAGGAGTTTGTTAAACTGTAACTTTAGTCTGCAACATGTCTCAGATGGACTACTTTACACTTTGAAGTGTTGAAGGTAAGTTCGTTATCATCTACCCAATCATGAAGTCGAGTTAGACCCTCCTGAAGTACCAGTATATCCTCTTGGTTGTGTATCTCTCTCCAAAGTTTCACATTATCAACAAAAAGTAATAAGTCAGATGATACCTGTTGTGGAAGATTGTATATATAAATCAAGGAGAGAAGAGGTCCTAGTACTGAGCCCTGGTGGACCCCACTAGGATATTCCTGAGATAAGGTGAAGGTAACCCTGACTTTAAAATGCCGATTTTGCATATATGAAATGAGCCAATCAATTAGAGGTGGTCTGATACCCAATCGTTTGAGCTTATTGATAAAACATATATGGTTAACCCTATCAAAAGCTTTTGGGAAATCAAGGTAAATGATCTTAACCTTCCCCTTGCGACCAAGGATGCTTGTCCATCTGTCCACTGACGTCAACTGGTCGGTTATACAAGAATGACCATTTCTGAAACCATGCTGTTGGGGTGAGAAGAAATTTAAGGACAGTAAATAGTCATGTATACCATCGCATATCAGGGGCTTCATGATTTTCGAAGGTATAGAGAGAAGAGCCACCAGTTGGTAACTTGAAGTTTTTGTGCGGCGACCTCCTTTGAAAATTGGTGTGATGTGATCCAGCTTCCAATTTTCCGGTAATGTGCCTCGGGTCGGCGAGTGTGAGAACGTTCAGCTATGCGGTGTTGCTAAGATTGAAGCTGTTTCTCTCAGTATAGCAGAATGGACCATGTCCGGACCAAGAGAAGTGCCTTTTCTTAGGTGCTGCGGTTTCCGGAACACCAAGTCAGAGCTCAGTTTCACTTCCAAAAGTCCTGTTCAGTTGCAGATGAATCTGTCATCAGTAGAGTTGAAGTGGGTCGGTTGAAATATCCGAGAGTACTGTCCTGCCAGAAGGTCAGAAGCACTACTATCATTGTTGGTCAGGCTACCAGGATTTAGCAGTCGGAAAACCGCGGTTTCAGCCCAACGATGGAGGCTGCATAAAATAATAAGCTTTCCGAATTGGAAACAAATCTGTCAATAAGCATTATCTGGTGCTGAAGCCTGCATTCTCTAATTGCCTTTGTACTTAAGTTCCTTATTTGTTTGCATTACCCATATGCATCGTTTTTTCCAGTTTGTTTATGTTCCGCTCAGGGGTGCCTTTTGCGGTTTAGCAAAAGCAGAGTGCTGTTCTTAATGACTGTAGGATGCTTGTAGATTTTTGGAACCGTTAATGGAACAGACGATGATACTTCGACAGTATCCGAAAATAAACTTAAAACGACGCGTTCTGGAAGAAGGGTGAGATTTCCAGAACATTTAAACGACTATTGCACGTAAGGCACTTCTCGACATTTTATATTATTTTTTTTAAAAAAAAAACAATTTTAATATGCTTGTATATATTTATTTCTATTTAAAACAAAACAAAACAAAAAAACAATTTTTTTTAACGCTATTACGTGTTCATGAGTTTATTTTCCATTTTTTTTCCGCCGACATCGTGTTTTTACGCACATACGAGTGTATTTTCGACATGCACTTACATTTTCTTTTTTCTTTTCCAGGACGGCTGGAAAAGAACGATGACGTTTATGAGGATCCGAAATTTTCATTGTACATTTTCTTTTTTTACTATGTTGTACCTCCGTCCCGTATAGTAAGGAAAGACGATCAGACGCTGCTAAATTTAGTAAGCTATCAGAAGAGTGTTTACCAACGACAAACTCGTTGAGTTTAAACTTCTGGCTGGCCACGTCTTAGGGTCGTCACTGCCCCACTACGGGGGGAGTGATCTGTAGCGGTAAATAAATCCCCAAAATAAATAGCACTAAGTTTTCGACATTGGATGCTGACCATATGTTTTAGGGGACTCATCTAGCTGAAGGCGCTCGGTCATGCATCCGCACCAGATCACGTGTGGTAACGCCGTGCTCAACATCAACCGCAATCGCTAGCCAGATTAGGTCAGAGAATTCCGATATATTGGTCATCGCCAAATATACTCTTCCGATCTCCTCGACTCTGTCTTTTGATTTCTCTGGGCGGGAACGAAATATATTAGAAGGTGTTACTGGTAGAAGCGTTGTCAAACACTGTATACCTGTGACATCATCAGTGTGATGTTCTAGATCAGTTTTGTTGATAAAACAGAGGGCCGTGATAGCGTGACCGTCTTTTCCTAGGGGAGCCAGGATTGATAGGTTGGCGATTAAGAATTCTTCGTTCTTAAATATATGCAGTTTAAGCGTGACGACGTCTGACTGCTGCCGACTTGACATTTTTGAATAATAAGAAGGTTGAAGGACCGAGCTTCAGTAGAGTTTTCACCTCCAACGTATGTGAGTTTAAAAAAAGCTGATTTTAGGAGGACTGAAGTCCCCTAGAATTAGGATATTAGTGAATCCGAGACTAGTAGAGCGGGTTAATCCTTCCAACATACAATTGTCGTACTTGGGCTTGTAGATGGCTCCAACTAGACACCCTGAGGTGGTAGAAAATCTTGCTGAGCACTAAACGATGATGAGATTCATAAATCTAAAAGTCGATTTTGTCTGAACTGAATATGATATTTAGCCGGGTGGTTAGGTATTGAACAACCTGAAAGCTATTTAAATTTATACACTTTGGGGGGAGTTTAAGTTGTCTTATTTAATTGCGCCCGTCGATCCATTCACCCATGTTAGGAGTACATTCAAGGTGACAAGTTTATGATTTTTATTTCATTTTCGAATTAATACGATATCTACTGATGCCATAGTGATCGATCTATGAAACATTAGACGTAGCCTGTGTATGTTAAAATTTCGTCGAAAACTTGGAGCGGACTTACCTATATCAAGCTTATCTAGCAGACCAAAGATATCAGGTTCTTTAATGGCCATATTATCTATAGTGTGTTCATGTTTGGGGATTTGTATGAACTGAAGGGAAGGGTGTCTCTACGGTATATTCATTGCTAAAGTGATGTGAGAATACCTGAGCTTTACCATAGTCGTCCTACACTAATGATGAAGCATTATTGTCTCCCCATAGTTCCGGAATATTTCCTCTTTTAGTCTTTTGGTCTGTATACGAATACAAGCGTTTAGGGTATTCTATAGGTTACTTAACTATTTTTTTTTCTTTGGACAACCTTTTAGACTTACGGAGGGTCGAGGCACAAATATTTTGAGCTTCTCGATACTGAGATTTCGTCTCATCATTACCCAGTAACCTAAATCCTTTCCACATTCTTCCCTACTGTACCATGGTGGAGAGTTTCTCGAACCCCTTGGTGTAGTCCAAGGTATATGGGGTGCAGTAACTTTTAAGTAAATTCCGAAATACATCAAAAGCTGTTTCAATTGGGGACTCTGGCTCCATTATCCAATCTACTGACGATGCTGAGCGTATAACATCTATATTTGCTTTCCAGACGTTAGGTCTGGATTGGGCTGGCGCGTGCTCGATCTTGACAACTATACAGAAGTCAAGTATTAGAACTGCATGGTCACTTTTACCTAGAGGCTCGTGACTTCATCCATGTAATAGGTCAATAAAGGATCTAGTAAAGATTATTCAGAGTTCAGGTCATACCTAGTTGCTTTCACATGTTGCACTAGGGCATATGTGATTATTATAAACAATTACTGCTAACTGTTCTTTGAAATCGGTAGTTACTAATTCCCGCCTTCAGCTTTGTTCCATACAGTATACTGAATGTGGAGTTAGGGTGATAACATGGGCCAATAAAGACCTAGCAGTTTTACAGTGATCGTCTTCCTTTACCCCCGACAATTTGTTCACCTGAATTGTAATTAACAATAATTGCAACCCATAAAGTGATCTTGGGATTTGTCGTCTGCTAGCGCGTCTGCCTCTTAATGACCACGTTTCGTAGCCGCAAAGTAGAAAAGAACGAACTGCCGCACACTATACTCGTTATTTTATTAGTAGATGGGTATCTCGCCTTCGCTATCAGTGACCCAAGTTGGCAAAAGCCAAACGAGCTTTTTGAATCATCGCAGAGATTTCTTCAGACATCAACCCGTTAGGGCTGATCAGACGTCCAAGATATGTGAAGTTGTCGATGTGTGACCATTAAGAGTAGAGGATACTCGTAAGTTACTAGTATTTGATGACAGATGTCTTAGAAATATTTCCACCATCTACTGGGATCACTGGGTAAGTAATAGTGAGGTTAGACGCAGAGTATTAGGGAATGATGGTAAGTCAGTTGATGAGGTTGTGAATATTCATCGACTGAGGTAGTTGGGTTATGTATACATGAACACCGATTACCACGACGCGCATGCTGACTAGTGTAGGGAATGGTTGGAAGAAAGTTAGGGGCGGCCAAACCAAAACGTGGCATCAGTGCTTGAAGTCACTAACTTCTAGTCTTAGCCATGTTTGTAGATGCAGACTACTCGGTTGGGGTCTGCGTGACTATCGTAACCAATGGTTGAAGACTCTTGGTGACATGACTCAGAATCGATCACAATGGCGTAGGTGTATACACTCTTTGTCTTCTCTTAAACAGTGAGATTAAAGTTGCTTTATACTTTTCTTTCTACCAACTAGTTCTTTCTCCTTATATACAATCTTTATTTTATATATTACTACCATTGAATTAACTTCTATGAATTTGGTGTTCATCCTGTTATGTTAATGAGGTGTGGCAACTTGTATCCATGCATTTATTTTCCTGGTCCTACGTTGTAGATGATTGACTGACTGATACAGAGAGGCCTGGTACAAACAGTAATTTCTTATGACAACTAGTAAGTGACTAGTTTTCTAAGGGCGTTAAGTTTTTGAAAATTTAAAATTTAAGTTACGAGTAGTGGGGAGGTGCATTTCCTCTTTTTGGAGATTTCCGGGATGTCTTAATGATGTTGATTAGATTTCCCCAGTTTGTGTAAATGTAATGTGAATTGTATGGAATGTTTTTGGAAAAACCCCAACATTGTGTGCGAATATTGGGGATTTTGAACGTTTTCTCGAAATTTCTAATGCGACTTTCATAAAATTGCTTCACATCTTCCTCGAAGTTGGAAGGTTAGTTATATTTTTGGTACTTCAAAAGAAAGAGATATGTGTAGTTATTGAAGTACTTAAGAACCCATGTTATGTTTGATTCGGCACTTTCACCCCAATAACCCGTAACATGCGTATATGTATATACATCATATCATCACGATTACAAGGTACCGCATATCTAAAGACTACTTATGTTGTAGACTTATTAAAATAAGTTTCTTCCATTCCTGATTTTTCAAATTACTTGTAGATCGTGTAGCGTTTGTCGTTGTGTTCCGAAATGGCAGTACCAAAAACTATTGAGCAGGCTTTTCCAGGTCACAAACGAACCAGTTCTGTTGCATAAACCGGGTAGTACGGAACGTCAGAAGTTGGATAGTACGTTGGATACTATGATTATAAACGGGCCTTATCATGTGCCTATATGTATTGATTCAAACGAATTATCATCCGGACAACCTCGAAGGCAGATTTTGGTATGTCAATAAAGTGTTTTTTTAATGGGAAGAATCAAGCCATTTGAGCATTCGAAAACACTGGTCAATTTTTATCATGCCTCAGGAGAGCAAATAAAATCTGCAATTGAATCTTGTCTAATAGCTCGTAAAACGTGGTCACGCACAAGTTTTGATGAACGCGCTAAGATATTCTTAAAAGCAGCGGACCTTGTTAGCGATAAATATCGCATGGAGTTGTTGGCATCAACTATTCTCGGTCAAGTAAGACCATATACTTTCTATTCTAGGCTATGGCCACTTTAAGGCGAAAACAATTTTTCAGGCTGAGATTGACGCAGCTGCAGAATTAGCAGATTTCTTGCGTTTTAATGTGAAATTTGCCTCAGTATGTATTTACTTCAAGTTCAAATCCCTTCTTAACCACAGGAAGCCCTGCAATATAAACCAATCAATACCCATGATGCAAAGAATGAAGTAGTTTACCGAGCAAATGAAGTAATTGTCATCATTCATCCCTTTTGATTATTTTTTGTCTCTTTTTCTTAAAGGGGTTTTGGGCTGCTATACCACCATTTAATTTTACAGCTATTGCAGGGAACCTAGCAAGTGCCCCAGCTTTAATGGGGAATGTTGTGATTTGGAAACCCGCTGATACATCCATATATTCTAATTATCTTGTTTACAGGTTAGAAGTTCATTAGAACATATTTTTACAATATCCTTTTTTTGAGATAATTTGTAGTAGTCATACAAGTGCCATATTGTCTATTTTTCTGTCCAGAGGTATATCTTGGTAAATCTGACCTTATGATACGTATTAACATTTGTGGATGGATATATCATCAATTAAGGTCTATGGGTTTGTAGGGATTTCATAATCTTCGTTAATGGTTTTCCGACCACCAAACTGCGCTGTCGACCGGGTGTTCTTCGTAATTCTGATAACTGACGCGCATTATGATTGATCAATCACCGATTTCTTCAAATTCAGACCACTAAATTTTAGTATAATTCTCCCGTTAGTTTCAGTAAACCATGAAAATATTGGTAGCCAAAGATATCGAAAACCTTCAGCTCATAGTGGGGATATCCATAAGTTGTATTTCTCATATCAAAGTTTTGAAATAACAGAATTATTTATATTATACGGGATTTGGTTGGTTCAGTGTTTAACGAGACATTTTCATTGGCTGAGTTACTGTACTTTGTAAAATATGGTTCTCACTAACCCACTTTCAATGAATGGATAACGAATACTATGTACTAGTATGAGAAATGGGAGATAACAGTCTACTCTGATAAATATTTAGTTTGTCTGTTTTGTAGTGTTAATCAGTAAATAGAATCCGTTTTTGCAGTAGCTCAAATATGTCTCTGTGGTGTTGATGTATCATTCATCTGCTTTCAAATTTGACAATCCAGTTATTTTGGTCTTGTTTACTCTGCACTTTCCTGTATCCTTTTAGTTTATATCACTTTTATTGGCATCACTCTTTAAAAGAAAAGTTGGAGCAAAACTTTTGTCAAATAAACTAAACTGAAATATAATAATTCATGATTGCATAATTGCACAGCTATTGTGAATTAAGTTTTAACTAAATGGTATTACTAGTTAACAGTTTTGGTACTTGTATGTGTTGGGACTATAAACCATTTGTTTACTAATCGCCCCCAAATGCCCTGGTACGGCCGATAGTTGGGAGAGTCAGCTCTCCCTCTCGAAATGCTCTTACATGGTCAGGTGCATACGACCACTGCTAGGGAAGTCCTACTCACTGCCTTCTCGCGGTGGGGGTGTCGTTTACGGCACTGAGAGGACGGAAAGCGAATGTACGGCGCTCCGTGTGTACCAACCCGGTGAGTTTGAAAACCCTGATTCCAAACCAATGGTGCACATAGGCTCCAGGATCCTGTGGAAACAAATGGCATATGAACCCATTGTTGGTCACCGGCTACCATGGGAATGAATCTCCTTACGTTGCTCCACTGCCTTGTGGATTATTATTTATTTATCTATTTAAACATATAAATATTGGTACAAGGGAGGCACCAAATATATATGCGCCACACAAAACAATGAGAATGGGAAGAGAAGAAAAAGGAAGGTAAGGGGCGTAAAAGAAAAGAAAGAAGAACAATAACAAACACAGATTAGTGTAAGGTAGTGTAATAATAATGGGGGAGACGAAAAGGTAGAACCAAAAGAAATCTTTCAGTTAAGGGAGAAACAACCACTTTTATGAAGAAAGTAAAAGGTTACAGCAGGATCGCCACTGGCTTCTATTCTGAGCCATATCTCATAACGTTTCTAGCCACTGTGTTGCACCATCTCTCGGACCCCAGCCAGGGAGTTGTGAAGGACCAACAGAAGCCAGCCCTTTGCAGCTTTCTTTCATGCCACGACACCATGTCATATACTGACCACCTCTCCGCTTTCTCCAACCAGTCCCAGAGTCGGCAAATAATGCACGACGTGGACTTCTCTGGGATGACATTTGTGCAACATGTCCAAGCTACCGAAGTCGGTGTTTCAAGATGGTGACACAAATTGCATTATCATCACTGTGCCCGAACACACGATGCCGAACCTCTGCATTACTGACATGGTATTGCCACTGGATGTCAGCAATCCTTCGGAGACAGCGATGATCGAACACAGAGAGTCGTCTAACGTCCTCAACTCGGAGAGGCCAGGTTTCACAAGCGTAGAGCAAAACTGCTCTCACGGACGCGTTGTAGATCCGACATTTTACAGCCGAACCAACACCATGAAGGCGCCAAAGATGGCCCAGATTGGCATAAGTCCCTCCGGCTTTCACTATACGTGCATTGATCTCATCACTCACACCCCCACCAGCACTTATGCAGCTACTTAGATACACGAACTTTTCAAGAGTTGGAGTTCCTTGCGGACTCCCGCCTCATTTGGTGGATCAGTCGTCACCGGTCATGGAAGGCAGGACAGTTCGACCGATGTTGCCGGAGCAGCAGGTAAGTTGAACTGCCCTTCGAAGAATTCTGTCCATCGTCCAAGACGTCGATGAATGTTAGTGATTGGCATTCCGTCATCCTCGCAGATTGTTTTGCTCACACCAGACCTTTTGCTTCCAGTGGCCCGGATGAGTTGGAAGAGCTTCCGGTAGTTACCAGATGCAGCCGCTGTTTCCAGCTCATTAGCACGCTCCGACCACCAGGCTTCTCGGTCCTTACGCGAACTTTGCCCAATTTCATTACGTGACATCCTTCGTTTGTGGTCAAACTCACGGTCACCCGGAATAGACCGACGAGCTTCAATGAGTTGTGAGGAGTCTGAAGAAACCCAGTGCTTATAAGCGGGACGTTTCGCGAACCCACAACTGACTGTTCCCGCCATTTTCATGGCGTCATGCAATTGCAACCAATGCTCATCTATACTTTTTGGTGGAATGGTAGCTAGCCTAGAAGCTAGCTCGGTTCGATACGTACTAGCAACTGAAGTTGCAACCAACTTGCTAACATCAATCCGTTGGTGACGGTCACTTCGTTGGCCACTGAAAAGTAAGGTAAGATTGGCGCAGACCAAGGCATGATCAGAGTCCGGATAGGTACTCCAAAAGGAGCGGCAGTCTTGTACACAACCACGCCAGCAATAGCTGGTCGCGATGTGATCAATCTGAGTCCAGGCTTGAGATGCAGAGGAAGGATGCCAGGTGGCACATCGGCGATGACTGTGCCGAAAGTTAGTGCTAGCCAGAAACAGGTGGTCTGTGCAAAGTTGCAGTAGACGGTCCCCGTTATCTGACCTGCGACCAACGAGTTCCCATCGGCCACCTAAACGACTCTCTTCTGTGCCTAGACGCCCGACCTGAGCATTCAAGTCTCCGGCTAGTACTGTAATATCTTTCGAACGCACTTCCTGGAGAAGAACAGTTAACTGGTGGCAGAATTCATCCTTGATTGCATCCGGGCTGCAATCTGTCGGGGCATAGGCTGAGATGACGAAAAGACATCGTTTCTCACTCCGATTTTTTCTCACTTTGATGGAACTTTCTAATCTAACAGCACATAACCGACTGTTAAAGGGAATCCAATCGATTAGTGCTGCCTCAGCTCTAGCGCTTAGTGCGACACCAACGCCAGCAAGACCAGACGAAGATGCCACAGGGTCCCCAGATAAGCGCACGTAAAATAAGGTTTTTGAAGCAACAAATGGAGAGCAAATTTGTAGTACTTCACCAGAGTCTTGAATACGGGTCTCGGATAGACAGCAAACATCGATATTAAGACTTTCCAAAGACATAGCCATCCCTGTCTGTTGTCCGACCTGCATAAGTGTGCGGACGTTGAATGCAGCCAGTTTGAATGGTGCACGTGGTTCCAGAAAAGCTGCTTCAGTATTCGTATTTGGTGGTAGCATTCAATTTTCAACCAGGCAGTGATTCGAGAACGTTTAGATACATCCGAGTTTCCGCCATATGCGAGCTGTTATATAAGTCGAAAAATAAGGATGCATAAAGTGGGAATAAAAGAGAGTGAATAAATGACTTAGTAAATAATAATAATAATAATAATAATAATAATAATAATAATAATAATAATAATAATAATAATAATAATAATAATAATAATAACGGCAATAGTAATAATAATAATAATAATGTGAATCGTCTGACTGTTAATCGAAGCAAGAATAGTATTTTCCGTAAGTATCGTCATTTCATTCTGTTTGGGTATGGGCTGTGATAATGCCCGGATGCCCAGGCCGAAGATAGTCAATATCATACAGAGTTCATATGATGGATTACATTGCAAAATCGTGCATGGAGGACAGTTGACAAAGTCGCTCAAAGTGAAGACCGGTGTCAGGCAAGGTTGCTTACTCTTACCCTTTCTCTTTCTCCTGGTGATCGACTGGATCATGAAGACGTCAACGTCTGAAGGAAAGCGCGGGATACAATGGACATCTGAGATGCAGTTGGATGATCTAGACTTCGCAGACGATCTGGCCCTTCTATCCCAAACGCAACAACAGATGCAGGAGAAGACAAACAGTGTGGCAGCAGCCTCAGCAGCAATAGGTTTCAATATACACAAAGGGAAAAGCAGGATTCTCCGATACAACACAGAATGCACCAATCCGATCACAATTGACGGAGAAGATTTGGAAGATGTAAAAACCTTTACGTATTTGGGGGCAGCATCATTGATGAACAGGGTGGATCTGATGCAGATGTGAGGGCGCGGATCGGCAAAGCAAGAGCAGCATATTTACAACTGAAGAACATCTGGAAGTCAAAGCAACTGTCAACCAACACCAAGGTCAGGATTTTCAATACAAATGTCAAGACAGTTCTACTGTATGGGGCAGAAACCTGGAGAACTACAAAAGCCATCATCCAGAAAATACAGGTGTTTATCAACAATTGTCTACGCAAAATACTTCAGATCCATTGGCCGGACACTATTAGCAACAACGTACTGTGGGAGAGAACAAACCAGATCCCAGTGGAGGAAGAAATCAGGAAGAAGCGCTGGAAGTGGATAGGACACACATTGAGGAAAGCACCCAACTGCGTCACAAGACAAGCCCTCACATGGAATCCTGAAGGTCAAAGGAAAAGAGGAAGACCAAAGAACACATTACGCCGAGAAATGGAGATAGACATGAGAAAAATGAACAAGAATTGGATGGAACTAGAAAAGAAGGCCCAGGACAGAGTGGGTTGGAGAATGCTGGTCAGCGGCCTATGCTCCATTGGGAGTAACAGGCGTAAGTAAGTAAGTAAGCCCAGGCCGAAGCATGTGATTTTCTTAGGAGGCCACACCCCGAGCCTTTGACCTAAAGGTCTGACCCACAAGGCAGAGGAGCATCGTGAGGAGATGTAGTCCCATGGTAGCCTGTGACCAACAATTGGTTCATACGCCATTTGTTCCCTCAGGATACTGGAGCCCATGTGCACCATTGGTTTGGAATCCTGTTAAAGCATCGGACACTCGCTTTTCGTCTTCTCATTTTCGTGAACAGCACCACGAGGAACCAGTGAGTAGGACTTCCTTGACAGAGGCTGTATACATGTGACCGTGTGAGAGTATTTCGAGAGGGGGCGGGCCCACTCCACTCTCGGCCGTACCAGGGCATTTGGGGGCACCTTGTGGATTAGACCCCAAGGTCAAAAGCTCGGGGTTTTGGCACCCAGGCAGTATCCTAGCCCTCTTATAAATCGAATGATTTATGTGGCGCTTATCTATTTGATGCCTCGTACCAATGTTTATATGTTTAAATAATAAAATAATAATGATATTTACTAATCTAGTCATGGTGCTGTGGGTCAACGATTAAAACACTCTGCTTCCATCCATTGTGTTTCAAGTTCGAACACCGCTCCCCTTTGTTCTTGGGAATTAAGTAGTATCACTAACCTTCGCGCAGTTTAGTTGAAAGCTGAGTACATAAACCTATACTTAGTGAATGTCATAATAATAACAAGAATATTTCTGACGTACTAAATTTACTGTACGTGTTTATTCGCATTTATGTGCTACACTTCACAACGCTGACTCTCATATCTCCCAGTTTCTTTATTATGTAATTCTAAAGATTACTCCGCGAAGCAGGTTTACCCCCTGGTGTAATCAACTTTGTCCCAGCAGATGGCCCAACATTTGGTAAAATAATTTGTGAACACCCTCAACTTGCTGGTATCAACTTCACTGGAAGCACGAAGTGAGGATAATCTTTTTGTTTATTTTATTTGTGATATAAATGACCTATATAAAGTGGGATCAAAGAACGAAAGTTTTAATGTTGTTCATATGTCGAAACCTAATAATGACGGGTATGTTTTTATCAATTGGAGAGTCTGAAACCTACAAAATATTGTCTAATCGTTTTAAAACACTTAGTCATTAGTTTCGTTAGTAATTTGTATATAAGTCCGTTCTTTTACCGTCAGAATGGTCGTTTCTTCTGGCTAGTTGTCTTATTTTCGATTTCAAACCATTCGGACGGCTTTGTTCAACCTAGATTCGTCACGATGATAATTACACTAAAATGTTATTGAGTCCATCCATTGAAAAATGACATTACTTAAAACTAAATCATTTGTTTGTTTTTTGAAATTATTCACTGGTAAATGTAATATGTAATGATCATTGACCACTTTAATCGTAAATACCTAATGAATTTACGGTCGTATTTTTAATTAATATAATAGAATAATACAAATTGTTGTACGACCTTTTACTTACTTTTAGATATACAGTTATAACTTTATTGATTGTATTATATGCGTGAATGTTTATTTTCACATATGTGCTCTTGTTGATTATTCACTTCTGACTTTGAACATATTTTAGTTGCGCTCACCCTGTGTTTCTGAACTATACACCCTAATTGGTTATTTTTTAATTTATACATTTTTCACTTTATACAAAGAAAAAATCACTCATTGTTTACTGAGTAACTTTTTACAGTTACTCCTTTCTCCATCTACTCAATTTACATATTCACTCGTTCAGTTTACCCGCTCACACGAATGTTTGAAATATAAATGTCCTAGATGCTACTTCTATCCAACTTTTTATTTCTGTGTTGTATTAACGTTGTTAGTCTTCAGGAGATGTACGAAGTTTAATGGGTCGTATATTACACTAGCATTATCATCACTCATTCATATTGGAGTCAGACAATGATCACTAAAAAGCTTTGAGTTGTAGAGTAGTTATGGTGTTATGGTTTCGAATATTCAAACTGTCTTGTTACAGCTTAGACGAGAAGTTGGGAAAGCTCGAACTCTTTAGTTTTTTTTTTAAGTTTTGTAATTCTAATTTCTGCTTTCTCACAGAAACCGCCTTCAACCTGCTAACCACATTCTCCTTTGCTCCCTTCTTAATAGTTATTTTGTCTTTTATATTATTTCATTCGCTGTTGTCAAAGGTCAATTATCAACTGTTACTGACTGAAATGACAGGCGTGTTATACAATAATTGTATCTTCTCTTAAATCTAGGAAGGTTCTCTTTTAAGCGATCGGTTCTTTTTTCTTATACTGTTTTACCCAACGATTGATGTGTTGTTACCTTGCACAGCGTAAGCGTCTTTGTTGCTGTGTAATGATTAAGCCAATCTTAGAGTACGTGTTTAGTCTCTGTGCCATTGTTGGGGTGATCCAGAAATCGCTTGCAAAAGACAAGCAAGCATCAAGAAACACTAAGAAGTGTTTCGTCCAATCAGCGTTCATTTGGAGTCTTGGCCAGAAATATCAAGGTAGCGAAACGTCACATGCGGAAGCTCTGATTGGTTGGCTACTACAGTGCTACTATGTTTAGTAGCATTCCCCAATATTCCAGCGACCCAAGGACATTTAGATATATTATAAAAACCCTATATTTTCTGTAATAAAATGAACATTGGAGTAAAGTGATTTCTCTCGTACTTGCGTCTTCTCTCTGGTGTTCAAGTCGCTGTGTCGTTCTAGTGTGCGGGTCATCGGAATAGCTTAGGAAAATAAATATAGCGTTCAATCCACAAGACTTATCAGCCATTTAGTTCAGAATTCACCTTAAGATTTGATCTATTTAAGAATGTTTTGACTGCCAACGTTTTCCACTTCGATTTTCCTACTGTTGCACTTTTATTAGGAATTACTGTTTACATTTTAGAACTTTTCGTGCTATATTGAAAATGATTGGCGACAATGTTGATAAGTATCGTGGTTATCCAAGAACTATAGGTGGTAAGTTATAAAATCGGTTTGGTAAAGCGCTTAATATTTCATTTCCTGATGAATTTCACATATTCTCTTCTTGTATGCATAAAAAATTGTTCAGTCAGGTTATTGAGTCGATTTACTCTAGCTTTATTTGAAGTACTTGACTATGGAAAAAAATAATTACTTCAATGTATGGATGGTTTTGGAAGGGATACTGTCACATACTGTTAGGTCTAATAATACATTCAATATCACATTTGTGTGTTGCAATCTCCTGAGCAAATCAATACACGAAACATTTAATTTTACAATATTCTACTAAAAACAATATACTATGAATTGATGAATGTAATCAGTAGCTCATTCAAAGAAGAGTCTATACTGTCAATATGTTCTGAACAATATCGAATATTAAAATACAGGGATTGTGTAATAAGTAAATTATTTAAGGTAACTCAAATAAGACTTTAAGACAGAACTTTGGGAAACATACGGTCCATTAGGTTTTCACTCTGATCGATCAGCATCGCATGTCCGTGAGATTTAATAGTCATGGTTAGTTCCATACCATATGAATTTGTAGATACCCGCTGCTTATGAACTGAAAACTGGGATGAAAAAGACGTCTAGTACAGTGGTGATGATTTTCAACAATCTAACAGTTTATAATAAAAATATCATAGTATATATCTGTTTCGCATATAATTATCTAATAAATATAATTGTAATTTTAATGTATTTCTATAACTCAAATGTTGAAAATAACGTGATTTTTTCGATCCATTCAGTTTTTGTAAGATTGTTCTATGTTCGATGTGAACTACTGAAAGTGTCATTGAAATGCCTCAAATTTTACAACTGACTCAATGTTTTTGAATGCTAATATCTGTTTCATGTTACATCTTTGATATAACAATTATATTTTCTCCTCTCAAAACAAATATCATAATTCGGTTTAATGACACTCCACATTGTGAATTACTTACTCCTGTTACCCCTCGTGGAGGAGCATAGGCCGCGTTTATTCGGAAGCAAAAGAGATGTGAAACGACAGCACACGAATCAGTATCAGTTAATGTCTAAGAAGCAAGAACACGACGTGCTAGCACAACGCATATATATTTCAAAAATCGAATGACGCGGTACATGTACAAAAGGGAGAAACTTATCGCAAAAAGGTCTCATCCATCATTTCGCAAGTCTAATTTATGTAGGGTTTGTTCCTCTTTTTCCAGCCTGTTTATTTTTTTACCGTGCAATAAGAAAAACAGATTCACATTAATAACGACACATGTAGTGATTTTTAATACTGTTACACTACCCCGTCTCTTTAGGAGGCACTGTCCTCAGTGCCTGGCTGTGAACATCTCTTTCTAATGGTACTTCGTAATAGCTAGTGGCAGGCGGGGGGTTCTCAATCTGGGTATCTAAATGCACCATCATTCGCTTTGGTTTCAACTGGTTATGGTGTAGTGTTATTACGTCATCTTGAGGCTGCTGAAGTTTACGCACGACAAAGCTACTGGAAACACAATTTCATAGGGTCCTAGCTAAATGTGGCAGAACTTATCAGAACATAGTTCTGATAATCTTCGTCTTCTTATCACACTATCGGAATTTATCAAAGGAACTAATTGCCTTAAATTTAAGTTCTAGCTAACTAAAACAATCACTTAATGTTTTAATTAATATGATTTTTTCAGTAAATAATATTTTGTGCTCAGTGTTTTTTGTGTTGCGCATATTCTTATATATATAATTGTATTATCATGATATTATCCAACCTTTCATTGATTTTAAATTGTATAAAATCTCTTTATCGTTTTGTGTTTTGTTCGCTTGTCAGTTAAATCTAATATGCTAGTATTAACTCACACAATAATAATAATAAATCACTTCTCGACCTCTTTATATTTATACTAATTTATTCAATAAAATTGTTACAGAATGTGGCGGCAAAAATTATCATTTTATCCATCCATCTGCAAACTTGGAAGAAGCTGCTCTCGGCACTATCCGAAGTTCATTTGAATACTCTGGTCAAAAATGTAGCGCATGTAGTCGACTTTATGTACCAGAAAATTTATGGCCAAAATTTAAACAACTTTTACTTGGTCATTATGAACAATTGAAAATAGGATCACCACTTGATTCAGATACATTTTCATCTGCAGTTATTGATCATACTGTGAGCAGTTAGTATTATTATAATCTTTTTAAGGGGTTTTTATGATCACTTAACTATAGTAGAAACAAAGATCAATTATTATGTGATTTGTATTGGAATTTTCGATAACGAATTCATGGCTACAGGATTTCAATCCCGACTACTTGGTTACAGTTCCGAGCTTTTATATAAGCAGCCAGGTAGTATTAGTAACGATACTGTGGCTCACAGGTTAAGAATTTAGGTTTCTAGCTATTAAGTCACGGGTTAGGACCCTCGCTCCACCTTCCTCTGTTTGAGCTACCGGGTAATATCACTAGACATCACACCTGAATTATGGTACTCCCAGCCATATACGCAAGTCTTTACGTAATAAATAAGCTAATAAAAAGGTTTGAAGAGCATGACCTAAGAGTGTACTAAAATATGTACTTAAATAGTTAGATTTCAACTAATAATCTGGTTCTCTCAGTTTCTCGACTAGTTTATTCATCAAAGAGCGAAATGCGATATTGTGTATCACATAATGATTGATTTGGATACATAATTTAGTCTAACCACTGATTATGAAGTACCCATCAAAATAACTACTTTTCTTTTTCTAATTTGTTTTCTACGAATTCCAATTTGCCGAATCTTTCAGTTTATTGGCTCTTTTCTGTTGTTATTTCACTCAATTTATTTGGGTCATTTTTTAAAATTAAGAATATCCTACTTCGTTCGTTGTTTTCCTAATTATATTGGGAATAACCACCCAACTGTTACATCCTTGACCTGTCTACCCAATTTTATACACGGGAGATGACTAACATGACTACAACGTACAAACAATTGTTCGTTCACGTATTCTTCATTTTTGAATTAGAAAAATATAATTATGTCCAAACTGGCCATCAGGGTAAAAAATAGAGTACCATGATAAAGTCTCAGAAACTCTTTCAGCCTCGACCACACAGCTTCAATATTGTTTGTGTGCATTCCGGTTGTTGAGTACACAAAATGCCACTTGTGGATAACCACACGATTCACGTAACCAATTCTGTGTAGGAGTTTGTACGCTCTCCAATCATCCGTATATATTGTAGTACCTAGGTGAAGTGACCTTGAGAGTGAACACCTACTGATTAGGACTAGATGAGGGTTGTAAAGCAGTTAGAATTCTCATTCACAGTTGATGGTTAGGGTTAAAAACTAGATTTAGGGCTTTCATCACGAACTGACATCAGCTATAACGCCAAAGCTCTATTTAGCCAAATGTATGGATGAATTTCGCGCCAAAATTCGTGGCTGGTTATCTTATACCTGATTGGTTCGTCCATAAATTATAGTCTCGCCGATCCTGGATCTGATATCATATTCGATTCCTGGTTTTATCGTTTTGAAGACATGTTCCACGCCGAATGCTCAAATTTCGATGACGCAGCTAAAGTTAGCTTACTTCTGAGAAGACTCGGAACAATAATAATAATATGTGAATTTCATCCTACCACAAAATCTTCGGGATTTATCTTTTAATGGTATAGTCCATATATTATCTAAAAAATTTGGTGAATAGTCCTCATTATTCAACAATGGCTATCAGTGTTTTCAAATATCAAAATCACCATCCGGTGATTATCCCATATATGCTGGAAAAGTAAATTGAGAATTCGAATGATTTAAACTAAAAGGAATTACAGCAGATCAATTTAAATGTCTGATTTTTATTTGTGGATCAAAGAATCCAGAAGATGTGGACATCTGCACCAGGATTTTAACGTTAATTGAACAGGAACCCAATATGACTGCAAATGGTCACGAAGGTGAAACCTTCCAATTTCAGTTCAGTAAATGCACTCAAATCTTCTATACAAATCACAGCTAGCTGCTGGTAAACCACAATCACCATGTTAGTTTTGTGGAGCATGGTATTTTGTGAATTCATATCCGCTCAAGAGTCACAAACGCCTCCTTTGTCATCGCGCTGGTCATAAAGAAAGTCACTGTCCACCAAAGAAATGCCAGCCGAAATGTCGTAGCGGAAATATGAAGCGACATTCACTAGGTCAAATCAAGAGCATGTTCGCAACTTTTAGATTAAACGGAAGTATGTAGACTTATTAGTGAGTGGAAAATCTATCGTATCCAGTTCGATACAGCTTACGATATTACACTGATTTGCAAAAACACGTGACGTAAGCTGGGATGTACACGCATTCAACCAACCGAACATGTTGCCCGAAATGCCTGAGGAGTTATGGTGAGGCTAACAGAAGTCGTGTGCGAGGTGCAATTCAAGGAACATAAATTCGATAGCGTCTGTTATCTGACAAGCCGGCATGAGGTATGTTCTCATAAGCCTTCCTCTGAATCTATCCGAATTTCTCATAATATTTCTGAATCTATGGCCTCTAATGTAACTTGATCTCATAAAATTTCCAAACAAATACCTCGGATGCAAAATGTTCTCATAATAATTCCAAGTCAAGTCTCCAAATCAGAACACGGTTGAACAGGAACTTAATTATATTCCAAATAAACAAGGTTGAATGGAAGTAGGAGTCACAGTAAGAAAAACGCTAGTATATTTATAGTTTTTACGTAAGAATATTCTAGAGTCTCCTCCAAGTATCCAGCAGCGCTATCCGGCTAAGAAGTGGCCAATCAGAGTGTCCCAACACAGTCCTGCACGGAACATGCTTTAATCCAGTCTTTATCCCGCCAACATACCCAAAGAAGCCTTTACCAATGTAAACGTTTACCTTTTGGTGTAATTCTGGCATTAGCTATCTTTCAATAGATAATGAACACTATACTGGCGAATTTGCCAGGGGTTGCTGCCTATTTGGATGATGTAATTGTTACAGGTTCCAGTATGTCCAAGTTATTTAATCGACTCGATGCTGTTTTAGCCAAAATATCTGAATATAGATTCTATCTGAAAGAAGTGTACAGTTTTGGCGGACTAGGTGAAATACTTTAGTTTTCCTCTACTTACCCAAGGTCGTTAGTTTCAACTCGAAATTACGCATCTCTAGCCTCAAGGTTAATTCAGCTAGTCTATAGTGTCAAGGTATTAGCCTACATCGAGACGAGTTCCCTCCTGTGTATTATTGGGTAGACAGATCAATGACCTAACAATTATATTTTGGAATAATAATGTATTTCATCATTCCTATCAAAATAATTGTAACCTACTGCAAATAAAAGATTGTAGGTCGGTTAATACTGAATTATTAAATACAATGAGATTTTCAAATCTTTTTGATATTATTTGGAAATTGTTTTTATCATCAATTTACCACTACACAAAATGAATATAAATTCGATTTTAGGCATTCAATAAAATCTCTGGCTATCTACAATATGCATCCAGTTGTCCAGATATTGAAGTTGTCGCCGGTGGTCATAGAGATGACAGCGTTGGTTACTTTATTCAGCCTACAATTTTGATTACTAATAATCCAACAGATAAGTTAATGAAGGTATATATCATTGTTTATACTTGTGAATCGATATTGTTTAGCAACAAAAATAACGTCATTTTCTTTTGTTTAAAAGCCCTTAAATTATGTTTACAATGTTATTTGTATTCCGATAGCTTTCTGTCATTTTACATTTCAGAATGGTAATTAGACAATTCATGATTTAATACCATGTGTGAACTTGACATCTTCAATGCTATTAGTGTCTTTGGATTCTTCATCTTTCATATTAGCATGATGACTGATGTGTGTCAAACCTATTCTGTTCATCTCACTTAATGCACATTTGATATTCAATTGAAAGCCCTAACTCTGTAATTTTTACATGCTTGTCATTTTTTCTTTGCATTTGATGTTTTTATTGGGTACTTATAATATCTTGGAATTGACGATGATCTTATGAAACCACCCATATTTTTGTCATGCTCGTGTTTTACGGTCATGAAGCGAAATTAAACATACTGTATCAATGAATATGTGTACTGTGAATTAAAGATACCAAACTTAAAATTGATCGTCATACTGATATCTCACTAAAAGAAAACATTGACAAGTTTATTCCATCCTAGTTAGTAGGGAAGTCGAACTTCTGATATTTCAAAGCTTAGTTTAAGTCACTTTTTCAAAGAATAAACAACTTTCTCTTTGTTAATACAATTTTAAAAATGAATTGGTATATCCAAAAAGTTTCCACTTCTCATCATAGAGTTGTCGATAAGTCTGCTACTCGAACGCTTAATAAAAACTCCATAACTGCTTCATAGATCTCCGGATTGTAGGGAAAAGATCTAAAGTAAGGAGAAAAGCTTTACTTCTAGGCTCGTTTATATGCAGGGAACAGCAGTATTTATCGTTTACTGGTAACCTATACACCTTTGAAAACTTCTGAAGATATCGTTAACTTAATAGTAACGTAATCCAATCAGATTTTAGCACACAATTCGTTAATTTACTAGTAGTTCCTAGGGTGCTCCTAATGCATGCTAATTTAACGAAATGTTCTTAGTTTTCTCTTGGCCTCTGAAAACCTTATTAAGAAATTCTCTGTGGACCCCAACAGTCATTTTGGTCAAAGATAGAATACTATGTGTAAAATATTCTTGTATTAACCGTGTGTACATGGATAGATGGGAGTTGATGTAAAATCTAAACTTTGATTGAATGATCAAAATTTTTATCTTTTCTTATAGTTTACTGTTGAACAGGTTGCATGTGACTTGAACCTTTTACATGATTATCTTCAAATGCTTAACTTGATGTCATTAATCATAGACATTCAATTCTATGTGTGATAACAAAGACATAGAGGATTTAATTGATACTTCATTTGCTTACTTTTTTATAACTTCCATATGAATATAATTGAAGTTGATTTTCAATATAGCTATAGTAAATTTATTGTTAAATGGATGTTTAATGAGCATCTAGTTAATAAAATTTAATCACTTTTTAGTTAACAACTTATAAATTCAAGATTATCTATTAGTAAAAATACTATTGTAGAATAATACTACATTAAAATTCACTTGGTATTGTTTGGCTTGTATCTTCCCATTGAGATTTAAGACTGCAATTGATCAGTCTGTTATTGGCATATGTGAATACTGTGTGTATGCCCCGATATTACCTTAATTCACAAGCTATTTGTAAGCAATGATGAATGGTGGCTAGCAGTGGAATGCAGTTTGACGCGCGTTTCGTCCTACTTGGGACGCGTCAGCTGGGTGTACCTGCATCTCAGAGAGTTGATGTTCACTCTGGGACTCGAACCCAGTACCATTCGCTTCAAACGCCATCGCGTTATCCACTCAGCTACTGAGTCCTGATAGCTACATTATAGTTTACATTTATTTTATTTTCGAAAATAATTCATTTCAATAATACTTGAATTCATCATAATTCTTATTTAGGAAGTAAACAAATATTTCATCGAGGAATATCTTTTCATTTTCAAATGCTGTACAATTATATTTATATGGAAATCATGTAGTCAAATATATGAATAAGTTTGGTCTGGTCACTTATTTAAAAATGGGAGGGGTACATAATAAATTTTGAATAATTCTGGTATAGCAGCTCGAACTGATGTAGGTACGTACGAAGTTCTACGTTGTTACTGACTGACTCACTGACTGAATTCTGCAAACAACTATTTAGTTAGCGGTTATCACTGATTAGTGAACTATACCTTATTCTAATTTTCTCTTGTTACATGAACCAAGCCACTTAGGATATATTACATTGTAAAGTTTGTTTGAACTACTTACATCCAAGTTGGTTTCGTGTTGATATTTTTATATTCTTACATTACATTGAATTAATCAATTATCTTCGTTAAAACATTTTCATCATTATGTCAAAAGTATATATTAAATATAATAATTCTAATCAGCATATGTTACATATTTCTTATACAGTGAGTTATTCTTTCATTCGTAAGGTTTATTTCATCAATCAACTCAGACGAAATCTGATTATATGTATATGGATATTTCATATATTGATTTCATTTATATTACCATTTGTGCTTTTTTTCCTAATCAAATTTAGGATGACATTTTTGGACCCGTTTTATGCACATATTTATATCGTGAAAATGAAATTGAGAAAACCTTAGATCTTGTTGATTCAACTACAGATTATGCATTAACTGGTAACTACATGAATATATATATATATATATATATATATATATATATCATAAAACTCTCCTTTACTCATTAATTGTTTTTCAAGTCAACTAGGGATTGTCGTATGCACTTCATTTTCCGGTTTTAAGCCACCAATCTCCTGTTGATGAAGCGTTCATAATCAGGTATCAAGAAAACAAGCTGATGATACTACAATCTCTTTAGTGGTTGAAATTATCTTTAACAAATTTCAGTAGATTTGTGTTGTGCTGAGCTGTATGGGATCCAGGATGCTCGTTTCGTCTCATTTTGGACTCATCAACCTAATGTACCTACATTTCATTGTTGATGTCTACACTAAAACTCGAATCCAGTACCCACCAAGTCAAATATTATAGGATTGTTCAGTAAGCTAAGTGGTTCAAATAGCTACTAATTGATCGAAGTTCAGTCACATGTTGACAGGGAGACAATCTAAACCCTCATGAATTAATCATCCTTGAGAAAATTTTAACGTATTAATTTGAAAATTCCCACTTAAAATAATTAAATTTTAGATCATATTTTGCGCTGTTGACGTGATTTTTAAAATCGGTTTGCAATTTCGCTAGCTTCCATAAAATAGGTGAAGTACAGAAACACATACTTTTATTGTCAAACTCCATATAATTTGATGTGTATGCAGTCCATGCAACTGTGACGAAAAGTAGTATAAGCAGGCTCTTCAGGTGGTCAGGTGTTTGTAAAAATCACCTCATTGAAATTCACATTTCATATTGTTCAAATAAGTTGTAATAGTTTTCGTCTTCTTTCTTTTTTTCTTTCTTCAACTATCCAGTTATTGGTTTGGAAAAAATTAAGATGTTATTGTCTTTTTTTATAAAAAAAGGTTCCATTTTTGCTCAGGATGAAGAATTTATTAAGTATGCAACTGATCGCCTTATCGATACAACTGGTAATTTTTATGTAAATGTTCAATCCACTGGATCTGTAGTTGGTCAACAACCATTTGGGGGAGCTAGATTATCAGGTAAATTTAAAGTGTTGTACCATTTTAAAAAACTAACAATGAAACCATAGCATTTTTATTTTCCTGCCTTTGTCAATAGAATTTAAAAGAATTATTATTATTTAATTCAATAATTAAACACTAGTAATTAGTTTAAATATTAACAAAACAAAATTGTTCATTATGTTGAACTGTTGAAAAAAATTATCTAATTCGTTGCAAACTATTTTGCCATGTCTGAAGAGATTACGAGTTCACCTAATCTAAGAACGGAACTAAGACTCTGTGACATAATGACTGGATCGGCTAACTATTCTGATGGTCCCAGCCCTGCTAACTAGAGAGAGAAGTCCAAGTTCGAAAGGGGGAAATATATTTCACAGGCAGCAAGAAACACGAACTACAACAATAAGCACAACGCAAGCGTATATTGCTTACTTACTTACGCCTGTTACTCCTTGTGAAGGAACATAGGCCGCTCACCAGCATTCGCCATCCAACCCTGTCCTGGGCAATCCTTTCGAGCTCCTTCCAGTTGTTATTCATCCTTTCTATATCTGCTTTTATTTCCCGACGTAATGTGTTCTTTGGCCTTCCTCTTTTCCGCCTTCCTTCAGGATTCCAAGTTAGGGCTTGTCTCGTGATGCAGTTTGACGATTTGCGTAGTGTATGTCCTATCCATTTCCATCGTCTTTTCCTAATTTCCTCTTCAGCTGGAAGCTGGTTTGTTCTCTCTCACAGAAGGCTGTTACTGATGGTATCCGGCCAATGGATGTTGAGTAAAAACTAACTCGCTGAAAAACGCAAGCGTATATATACAGCATAAAAATGTCCTTGGGAAACGGTACAAAATAGCATACTAAAAGAGACAACGAACCAATGGTATTTAAGGTCCCTCCAAGTGGGAAATACAACACGAAGGTGACAAGGGGGTTTTTGGTGCGAAAACAAGAAATTCGAATTTTTACAATGGAATTACAAAAATAAGGCATTTACAAAGTGAGTTCTGGGGATCTAACATCCCCAACACCTTCCCTTCTAATAACGTAATTTCCTGGTATCCAACAGTACGTTCAGCGGGAGATTTCTTTCTGTCGATGGGCGAACTGGGGCTAGCCGCTTATGTAGCTGGTTTCGGTGTTGAGTCCACCTGTCTCTTCCCACCCCTACATCGTACATAACATGGCCTAGTTTTCCGACCACACGTGCCTCGGTTCAGGGACCATGATTTTGTCTGTAGTCCCGAGCGAACAACGGACATCCAACCTCGTACGTTAACAGCTTCTGGGACTTGGTCTGTGATGGCAATTGTGTGGTTCTCGGAAGCATCAGATTGTGGATCGTCCTCAACTTTCTTCCCATGAGGATCTCTTTCGAGGACTTCCGCTCCGGTAGCATATCACTAGGTGTCGTTCGGTAAACGAGTAAGAAGTTCTGCAATGTTTCCACTGGCGTCCCTTCCCCTTTCGACTTGATTAAAGCCCTCTTGAATGTATCCACAAATCTTTCTGCTTGGCCGTTTGACTGTGGGTGGTAAGGTGGAGAGCAGAGATGCTTGATAGACAGCCGTTGGCAAAAATCTTGAAACTGAGTTGAGGTGAACTGCGAACCATTGTCGGATACGATTACATCTTCTAATCCGTTGCGGGCGAACATCTCCATCAAAAGTTTCTTCGTTTGAGCAGTCGTTGGTGGTATAATGGGAACGATCTCTCAGTTCACCTCAACTCAGTCCCAAGATCGATGAATTATGTGAATTCTAATCGCTGATTTTAATTCGTATATGATTTTGACATAATGATAACGTATAATTTCACTAATTTAATCAGGTAAAAAGCTTTAGTATACATGTTTACTTGTTTATTGATTCATATAAGATTAAACAATTTATAAGCTTTTCACAATGTATCATGTCACTTATTATTCATTGTCAATTTAACGGAATAGAATTTTCAATAATCCATTTGTTCTATGCTCTGACCTTTAGTAATCAGTAATTATGAATAATTTGACAGTACAGATTCATTGAATTTTAATAATTATCCGTTTTTGACATGACTTTCGTATGTTTATTTATAAGTAGTAGGAAAACTAGTTGACGTTCATTACCTTATTATTATCATTATTATTATAAGAATATAAATAAAATATAATGCTGATGTGTAAGTTTACAAAAATTCATAACATAATACAAACTAATTGGGATTACATTAAGTCTGTAAAATTTCAAAGTTATGGTTACTTTCTTATTTTACTATGTATGAACTAAACTTAACTAATTATTGAATGTGATAAAAAAAAGATTCTCAAACCATCTATTGGCTTATCATATAAAAATAGAAAAGTTGAAGTATTGTGGTCTATCTGACGTCTCGTGACTTAGTGTAAGCCACTTCTTCAGAGTAAATAGATAATCGAAATAAAATTAGCACAAGGTTAAATAGTACTAAATCGTACTAATATATAATAATATATTATTATTATTATTATTATTATTATTATTATTATTATTATTATTATTATTATTATTATTATTATTATTATTATTATTATGTTACGATAATCTTAATATTCGGACTCCGTTGCGTTATTCAGGTGAAATTAGGATCATCTTCAATAATTTCGAAGTTAAATTTGTCGGATTTCATTTTTGTGTACCTGATTAACTTGTCGTGATTCTTTTTTCCTATGTTATAATCTAGGTACAAATGATAAGGCCGGTGGACCTCAATACACTTTAAGATTCACTTCTCCGCTTTCGATTAAAACACAAATTAAACCCATTCTATCATGGAAACAAGCACATATGATTGACTAATTGTTTCATTCACTTTTACTATTTGGAAATTACTCATTGCATACGTATAAGGCCTAATCGTTGAACCATCCTTATACTTGTTATTTCAACAAAATGTTTGTACTCTTTTTTAATCTTACATGTAATAAATTTTATACTTTTCGATGATATTTTGCTTATTTAAAAACCTTTCAAACGGTTGTCACAATTTCACTTTTATTCCGAAAAACGGTAGTATTTTTCCTACTCGTTAACCGATTGTGAATCAGTTATAGGAAAAAAGCTCATTCATAGGTTTTGGATGAAGATCTTCCTTGTCTTCTAGTGATCAGTAGGCATCCAGAAGGCACATATTTCAAAATGTGTGAATTTTTATTCTAACCACTTCTGGATTTTCTTAGTTCCCTTCTCTTGGCATTTCGTGCACGGCTAAAACTAAGTAACTAGATGTATAAAATGGTTTGTAGTTTTTTCATCGAAGTCACATACATTAGTAGTTAGGATTCATGGTGAGACGGTTGACAGTTTAACACGTTTTGCTTATCTCGTAATTTCATTGATAATTCTTCTAATTTAACGCTAATTGTTGTATCTGGTCGTCGCTGATATATTATGTCGGAATAGCTTATCACTTTACTCAGAAAACGAGGAACTACTACAATTCCCACGACACGGAAGTAAGAACACAAAGACTGTTACAAATTAAGATTTATTAACCCCAACACACAACGCCGACCCTAGTCGAAAATACATTCATTTCTATATTGGTCTTACACCCATTTCGGTTAGTAATTACTATAGAATCACATATATGAAAAATGTCCAGAGTTATTACAAATCACATGCTGCATGTCATGCTGAGCGTGCTTACTTACGCCTGTTACTCTCAATGGAGCTTAGGCAGCCGACCAGCATTCTCCATCCCACTCTGTCCTGGGCATTCCTTTCTAGTTCGATCCGATTGTTGTTCATCCTTCTCATGTCTGTCTCCATTTCTCGGCGTAACATGTTCTTCGGTTTTTCTATCCTCCTTTGGCCTTGAGGATTCCACGTGAGGGTGTAGTGTCAGTTATTATGTTAAGCCCATATATCATATTCTCGCTTTCGGACAGGTCAATCTATTCATTCTACTTGAGTCACATTTTGACCTTGTTAATTATTCGCTTATCAATCTTGACTGTTTTTATATGAGCGCGTAGGTGTGCGTACATTTCTTATCCTATTCATCACACGTCTGTAACTTATTTTTGTTTGCCTATAAATATTGATTGACGCTGGACTAAAGGGAGTTGGCTTACCCGCCATCTCCACTGCGCGTCGTTTTGATTTGATCTATTCCATTCGCTCTATATACAAAATATATGTATTCAAAAGTCCATTCTCGTCATTTGACTTATTTAATTCCATTATTGACTACCGCGATTTAAGTCGATGATTATATTTGATGTCAGCACGAACAAAATTAGTAATCCCACATTCGGTCATGATATGACAATAATGTAATAATAAGCATATGATGATAATTTGAATCATAATGGAACAATCCGACAAATGGATCAATGAGAATAGTTGACATGAGGACAAAGTATCGATAAGATAATACGTCTTGAGCATGTCCATACCATGATGCACAGGCTTTGCTGATTGCTTCGGATTGAAGATTGTCCTGGCTTCGCTAAATTTGTTCGTCGAAAGTATAGAGTGCGGAAGTTTCTTCATCGCCATAGCTTGCTGTGTTGACTCCGTCGTCGACGGCGGGCCCACCACTTTTTGGGGCCCCGTTATTTTGTCGTTTAAATCGGACGATGTTTGTTGACGGGCTCTCCACTTATTGGCCCGAGTTCTGACTTTAATTCGATCGTATGAATGATTGTTATTGAAATATATATGTCGTCTATCCTCGTATATAATCATCGACTTAAATCGCGGTAGTCAATAATGGAATTAAATAAGTCAAATGACGAGAATGGACTTTTGAATACATATATTTTGTATATAGAGCGAATGGAATAGATCAAATCAAAACGACGCGCAGTGGAGATGGCGGGTAAGCCAACTCCCTTTAGTCCAGCGTCAATCAATATTTATAGGCAAACAAAAATAAGTTACAGACGTGTGATGAATAGGATAAGAAATGTACGCACACCTACGCGCTCATATAAAAACAGTCAAGATTGATAAGCGAATAATTAACAAGGTCAAAATGTGACTCAAGTAGAATGAATAGATTGACCTGTCCGAAAGCGAGAATATGATATATGGGCTTAACTGACACTACAAGCTTTTGTAAACGAATTTTATATTACGAAAAAACGGTAAAACTGAAAAGAATGTAGTGTTAGAATGCTAACATCTCAACTCTTATCCTGAGCCTAAACTTGACACTCCTTACACTAATATTCCTAAACCTAACGATCCTAATTTTGCTATTTAAAACTTCATCTCCTGACTTTGTGATTTATCTGCGAGTCATTTCCTGACCACAGCTTTGTAAGATGCTTTTTCCTAGTGGTCCAACATTCTGTAAGCGATCTACAATCATATCACCAAAGAAATTAGCGGAAATGTGAAGTCTCATGGAAAATGGTGTCCTGCAAGAGGTTATTATTAGTGTGCAACTCGATTAGATGGCTAGAATCACCCGATGTGTAAATCCCCTGATGAGATACTAATATATACCAGACGCTGAGGAAGTGTGTGAGGAACTCTGGAATAGGAAGAAACAAGAGAAAAAGTGAGCCTACAACTCAGTAAGCACCTAGAATGTACTCATATTTAATAATCAAAGCAATTGATAAAAATTATCCATAACATAACATAAGGTAAAGACAATCTGAAAGTCGAAATCGCGTATTGATGGGATAAGACTGAAGTGTGTCGCACTATCCCTCGTTCGGTTTTAAAATTCGCGCTTAAGTTCAACAACCAGTATCTTTATCTTCATTGGCTGGTTTCATTCATTTCAAGGTTGTCAGTTCAGTTTAGTTTTATCTTCAAACGTCCTCAAATATGATGTTATTCTATGATAGCTTCAGGTTGTCCAGTTTTTGTTAAGAAGCATTGGTTCTTTAGTGGAATAATAACCTCAGTGACGTTTTAATATTGCTTTACTGTCATTTGATTAGCTGTTCTCACGTTTTTTATTTCTATAAGGTCATGTTTGTTTCAATATACACAGATTTGATCTATTTTAAGTATGTTTTCTCAAATATCGAGCTCCTCCTGACTTCTTCCTTCACGTTGTAGATTATAGTTGTGCGTTAATTGTCCAGTCTATCGAATTCGTGTAGGTCCAGGTTCAATCACTCTCATTTATAAAATACCATAAGGCTGATCACAAGACTTAACATTTCATAACACTAGAAAAATGAACATAATTATATGATTAGCAGAGCTTTAGGTTCAGTAGCTATTTGGTGACCATGATTTTCATCACCAATTAATTACCTTTTACTCAGGTCAAGCTGTATGGTTTGGATTAAATTTGTTGTATAAAAATATAACATTTTAAATCACTGAGTTCATTCCACCGATTGCTCTGCTTTTGGAAATCTCTTCGATTAGTACTTGTTAGATTATTCTCGCCAATATCAAACATTCTTATACTTTCGATGATCATACTTACTGCTCTCCATCAATTTCAGATGTGGTGTTCTTACCTATGAAATGTTTTTGAGGATCTCATGTGTCCATTATACATTGTTTTGTAATTAACCGTTAATGTTTTGTTTATTCAACCTCTCGAAATTTATTTCTAATCATGATATATTATCACTTTTCATCCATAGGTTGTGTACGATTTCTATTGAAAATTGATTTCATTTTATCTAATATTTCCTCTAGACTGTTTTAATACATCATTTACAACATTCAGATTAGATTCCATCCTATGAAAGTAGTTTCTTGATACTTTCTTCACTGTTATGGTCTGTGTTGATAACTAGAAGTTACCCATTTTTCAATGATGATTTCATACAAATGGTCGTCAATCAAGTCTCACACCTATTTCGTCTTTTCACATTATCTTACTTTCATGCTTTTTCAGTAGCTTAAATATTTTATGAAAATTATCAACGGCGCAGTTTATAAAACGTATTAAGCGTATAAGTATATAGGTGAAATCATTATCAGTGTAACTTTAGTTCTCTATCTATTGATAAATTTTCACGATTATGTACAAAGAAAACCCCCCTTTATAAATATAGCCCCCAAATGCCCTGGTATGGCCGAGAGTGGGTTGGGCCCGCCCTCCCTCTCGAAATACTCTCACACGGCCACGCTTATACAGCCTCTACCAAGGAAGTCTTACTCATTGCCTTCTCGCACCACGGGTGTTGTTTACGAAAGTGAGAGGACGAAAAGCGAATGTCCGGCGCTTAAACCGGATTCCAAACCAATGGTGCACATGGGCTCCAGTTTCCTGAAGGAACAAATGGTGTATGAACCAATCGTTGGTCACCGGCTTCCGTGGAACTGCATCTCCTCACGATACTCCACTGCCTTGTGGGTCAGGCCTTTCGGCACAGTCATCGCCAATGTACCACCTGGCGTCCACCCTCTGCATCTCAAGCCTGGACTCAGATTGATCACATCGCGATCAGCTATTGCTGGCGTGGTTGTGTACAAGACTGCCGCTCCTTTTGGAGTACCTATCCGGACTCTGATCATGCCTTGGTCTGCGCCAATCTTACCTTACTTTTCAGTGGCCAACGAAGTGACCGCCACCAACGGATTGATGTTAGCAAGTTGGTTGCAACTTCAGTTGCTAGTAAGTATCGAACCGAGCTAGTCTCTAGGCTAGCTACCATTCCACCAAAAAGTATAGATGAGCATTGGTTGCAATTGCATGACGCCATGAAAATGGCGGGAACAGTCAGTTGTGGGTTCGCGAAACGTCCCGCTTATAAGCACTGGGTTTCTTCAGACTCCTCACAACTCATTGAAGCTCGTCGGTCTATTCCGGGTGACCGTGAGTTTGACCACAAACGAAGGATGTCACGTAATGAAATTGGGCAAAGTTCGCGTAAGGACCGAGAAGCCTGGTGGTCGGAGCGTGCTAATGAGCTGGAAGCAGCAGCTGCATCTGGTAACTACCGGAAGCTCTTCCAACTCATCCGAGCCACTGGCAACAAGAAGTCTGGTGTGAGCAAAACAATCTGCGAGGATGA